CATGCTCAAGCACTCTTACCATTTGAGCCATTCTTCCAGCCCTTTTTGCTTTTACTTTTCTGAATATTCAGAAGTTTTTGAATGTCTGAAGTTTTTGCCTTGGTGGCCTGGTCTACAATCCTCCTGTGTATGCCTCCCAGGTAGCTAGAATGACAGGCATGTGGCATCACACCCAGCTTTTTATTGGTTGAGATGGGGTCTCATTAAATTTTTCTTGGTGCTGTCCTTGATCTGTGACCCTCTGATCCAACTCCTGAGTAGCTGGAATTACAGGGGTAAGCCACTGCACCTGACTCAGATTAATAATCAAGTAAAGCCATAGCTCTTTTGTGTGCTCTCATTGATTAAGAATACGCTGGTCATGGTGGTGCACACCTGGAATCCCAGCTGTGGGGAGACTGAGGCAGGGGGATTGAAAGTTTGAGGCCAGTCTGGACTAGCCTGTCTCAAAATAAATACGATTCGTACTATCATTTTGCATATTGCATATATTCAGGTATGAACTCAGATCGATTAACAGCTGTCACATTTGGAAGCAACAAACTGGTTACCTTGACTCCATATGGGTTCTTAAATCTAGTTACCAGTAAACCATTTGCTCTTCTGTTATGTGCTCATTACAACTGAGCTTGGCCTGGGTTTTTTGTTTTTTGGTTTTTTTTTTCCCCCTAGGTTCATCTTAAGAGTCAGCTAGTTGTGCCTAGACAAAAAATTTATTAGGAGAGCAGCAGAAAAAAATGGTTGTGACTTGAATTAGCAAACCAACTGGAGAACAGATTTAAAGCTTAGACTGAGCTGTGAAGGGTAGAAGGATCCAGTGAGGAGTGATAAGGTGAAAACAGGAAAGATAAGCAGGTGCTTTTTGGGGAGAGTGGATAGGTAGTTTGAATGGATCAACAAGTTGGTGTTAGAAAATTGTAAGTAAAACAGTTGGATAAGCAGTTTGAATCAACATGTACAAAGCATTTAACTGGTGCCATATTAAATTTGTGATGCAAGTTTCATGTAAATGTGTGTTTTTATTTCTCTTAGGTATATGTCAGAGTGGGATTATTAGGACATATGATAACTATATTTGACTTTATAAGAAACTACCAAACTTTTACAAAGTGGCCATATCACTATTTTGTTTTGTTTTGTTGTCCTGGGGATTGAACTCAGTGCCTCACACTTCCTAGGCAAGTGCTTTACTGCTTGAGTTATGCCATCAGCCTTTCCTATATTATTTCGTTTTTGAGACAAAGTCTCACTATGTAGCTTAAGTTGGCCTTGAACTTGCAATCCTCCTTCCTCTATCTCCCAAGTAGCTGGTATGACAGGTGTGTACCACCATGTCTGTCTTGTTTTGGAGAAAGGGTCCCACTCTGTAGCTCAGGCTGGCCTTAAACTCACAATGCTCCTGCCTTTGCCTCCAGAGTACTGGTATTACAGGTGTGCCACCATGCCTACCTGCTGAATCACTTTGTATTCCCACCAGTGGTGTAGGAGATGTTCAGTTCCACATCTTTGTTTATAGTGGGTATTACCACTTTTAATTTTAGCCAATACTGAAGTTTTAAGGCAGAAGAGTAATGAGTGAGCAAAATGAGAATGTGAAGTGAGAGAAGCTAATTTGTCAATAAGTGACTGCATAGACACTGATTTTAGTTTTGGTGTATTAAGTTTAAGGTGTCTGACTAGAAAATGACCTCCTAGGCTTTGTAACTTCTTCATGGAATTTCTAGACACACATGAGAAGATTTCTGCTACTTTCTTTGTGACCATAGCAAGTTTTACTTACATACTTTCTAAGCTTTAGTTTTTTGCATTTGTTTAGTGTGAAATACAATAAAAGATCTGTACTTCATATAGATCTGATGCAAAGTTAGCACTTAGTGAATGGTAACTATCATCATCATGATTGATTGGGACTTAAATATATGTTCTGTGCTTCCAGTAACTTGTAATTTTCAGATCTCTGCATTTCTTCCTTTCTAGCTGATCTGTGTTCATTCCCCATGTAATAGCTATAGTGATTTTTGTTAAACACTGATCTTGGGGATTTACCTTCTTTTCCTAATTCCTTCATTGGCTTTCCTAAGTGCTTAATTCTATTTTCCTTGTCTGGTTATAAATATCTTAGGAAAGCTTTGACTGAGTTCTTTGTTACAAAGGTATCCATGCAACCTACAGTTTTCCCTTAGATTGTTTGTGATTACAATACTTATTTGTTTACTCTTTCTCCTTTCCACAGTATTATAAATCCATAAAGGCTGGCACATGGTAGGTGTGCAGTGAATTTGTTGAGCAAGGTATCTTGTTTTAAGTTGCTCAAACGAGGACATTTTAAGCCAGACAACGTTAGTGGTTCATGCCTATAATCCTAGCTACTTGAGAGGCAGAGATCAGGAGGACTGTGGTTCGAGGCCAACCCAGACAATAGTTAGAAAGACCCTGTCTCAAAAATACCCAACACTAAAAAGGGCTGGCAGAGTGGCTCAAGAGGTAGAGTACCTCCTAGCAAGCATGAGGCCCTAAGTTGAAACCCTAGTACTCTCCCCAAAAAATAAGGACCTTTTTATACTAAAATTCTCTCTTTTTTTTTTTTTTTTCCAGTACTGGGGCTTGAACTCAGGGCCTAACACCTTGAGCCACTCCATTAACCCTTTTTTGCCCAGGCTGGCTTTGAACTGCGATCCTCCTGATCTTTGCCTCCTGAGTAGCTAGGATTACAGGCATGAGCCACCAGTGCCTGGCTCTGAAATTCTTTCTGATATTTTAACATTGTTTTCTATAGCATGAGTTCTTAAAAGATACTTTCTTTGGTCTTGATGTGGGAGGTTGAACCCAGGATCTCATACATGCTAAGCATGCACTCTACCATTGATCTACACCCCCAGTCCTTAAAGATGTTTTTGAATCTAAGTAGGATTTTGAAATAAACTTTCTGTTACTAGGGTTATTGGGTCAAATAAGATGAAGAACCTTAAAAATTATTTTAGTATCATTTTTGTTTGGTTGGTTTTTTTGAACTCAGGGCCTTGGACTTGCTAGGCAGGCGCTGTACCCTTTTAGCCACATTCCAGCCCTTTTTTTTTTTTTAGTTACTTTTCAAATAGGATCTTGTGTTTTTGCCAGAGTCAGCCTTGGGCTGCAACCTTCCTACCTCTATCTCACAATGGCTGGGTTTACAGGCATGTGCCACCATCTTCTACCCCTATTTTAGCATATTTCCATTATGATATTAATACTTCAGAGAAAATTTGGAAAACAAAAGCAAAAGAAAATGTAAGAGTATTACAAATCTTTTGGCAGAGGCTTTCAGATTGCTTTTTTCTTTTTTGGCAGTACTACAGTATGAACTGAGTGTCAGGCAGGCATTCTACCACTTGAGCCACTTCCCAACCCTCTTTTGCATTCATTATTTTTAAGGAAGGGTCTTGCAGGTCTACAGAAGTAGCAGGTTTACTCATATTCGTTGGCTTTATCTATGGGTTTTTATATGCCTCTTAGGTATGTCGCTCCACTCCCTTCTCAGGATGAAATTGTCCCTCATATATATGACTGTTTGTGTGTTACTTTTTCTTAATTTAGTCAGAATTCCATAGCATTTAGTCCTCCCTCCTCTCCTTTCCTTCCCATCCCTGATTGTTACACCAAAAGAAACAAGGAGTGAGGAGATGTTAGAAGATTGCTTAGAAAGTATGGTTGAATTTTAGTTTGTAAATTTAAATATTCAAAATAAGATTTAGAGACTGAGCTAGCAAACTTATTTTAGCAGTGCCATAATCTGCTCATTTAAACTACTTACACAAAACCTTGAGAGTACTTTAGCCTTTTATACCTGAGATAAATGGGTTCTTTATATTGTGAGCACCCAGAGTCAAAAGACTCTGTAAAGTATGACCTGAATAATGGAATCTACACAGACTGGTTTGTTTGGTTTGTCAGTGTTTTACTTTTAGAATTTTCATTTAGAAGGAATTACAGATTCACTGTAATTCACTGTAGTAGAGAAGACTCTTGTGTCCATCACCCAGTGTCCCCTGTTGTAATATCTCATGTAACTATACTTATTACAACTTGGGAATTGACAATACAGTTGACTGACTAGATAACAGACTTCACTCTGGTTTCAGCAGTTTTTGCACACACTCTGTATTATTTTATGACATTCAAAAAATAATTTAGGCATAGTTTTAGCTGGGGTGTGGTGGTGCATTTCTCTAATTCTAGCACTCAGGAGGCAGAGGCAGGAGGATTGTGAGTTTGAGGCTAGCTGGGGCTGCAAAGTGAGGCCCTCAGGAGGCAGAGGCAGGAGGATTGTGAGTTTGAGGCTAGCTGGGGCTGCAAAGTGAGGCCTTGTCTCAAAAAAAAAAAAAAAAGTTTTAAAGTAACAGAAAATGTTGCAAAGATAACACAGAGTTTCTCGTAAGGTTGTCACCCACTTCCCCCGGTTGTAAAGATCTCCCATTCATGTACTGTATTCATTAAAATTGAGGAACCACACTGGTACATTTCCACTAATAGAACTCTGTGCCTTATTTGGATCTTACTAGTTTTCCCCTAATGCCCTTTTTCAGTTTCTAGATTCTATCAAGGATACCAGAACTCATTTGGTCATTGTGTTTCCTTATGCTTATCTGAGCTATAATGTTTTTTCAGATTTTCCTTGTGGTTTTTCTCATGACTGAACTAGATTTTTAAGTAAGACCACAAAGGTAAACTGCAATTTTTATCATATCATGCTAAGGATCACTGTTGATGTTGACTGTCACCTGGCGGAGATAACGTTGGCAGGTTTTCCAGTGTAAAGTTACTTTGTCCCCCTTCTCATACTCTACTCTATGGAAGAGAATCACTAAGTACAGCCTACATGCAATGTGTGGGGAGACTTAAATTCAAACTTCCTGCAGAGAGCTTACCTACAAAAATTATTTGAATTCTTCTAACATGTCTTTTTAAACTTTATGGAAACAGCATGTGTACTGAATCAGTCTAACGTATCTGTTTTTTTGCAGGGTGGGAAACCCCGTAAACACCGGAAGGATCGGCTACAAGATTTAATTGATATAGGCTTTGGCTATGATGAGACAGATCCGTTTATTGATAACTCAGAGGCTGTGAGTAATGTATCTTTAATATGGCAGCAAATTCTTTGGGATAGTGGAAGTCAAGGGAAAGTAACATAAATAAGTTAATGAATGCTTTGCTTGTGCTTTTTCAAGCCATGCTCACTGCTTAAAAATTTGAACTTTTTAAAAAAAGAATACTGCACATTTAAATTTTTGTAATACTGTATTGGTTCATGGTGAGTTGTTATACTATTGAACTAGACCAGGTTTTGGCAAACATTTTTTTCTGTAAAGAGTTACATGGTAAACATTTTAGACTGCTGGCCATGGTCTCTGTTACAGCAAACCTGGTGTAATGTGAGAGCAGCTCTAGATAATATGTAAGTGAATTAGTAGGCAGTATTACAGTAAAACTTTATGGACTCTGAAATTTAAATTCATGTAATTTTCATATGTCACGGTGTATTAACCATTTTGATATTTTCAACCATTAAAAAAATGTAGAATCCATTCCTACCAGGCTGGATAAAATAAGCCAGCCAGTTGTGGTTTGCTAACCCCCTATTAGACCACTATGCCTTGCTCCTCTCCAGGTCCTACAAGACTTTGTTAAGGATCTTAGCAGTTACTTGTTTTCAGTAGTTAGTATTAATTCCACTGTCACCCTTTGCCCAAACTAAGACCAAAAGTAAGTTTTTAAAGGGAAAAGGAAAAATATTCTAACCAAATGCTGAAAATCATTACATGAAAGTAATGGTTCTCGACCAGGGGTGAGAAATATTGGTATAATTGTCTTAACTAAGACTCAGTAAATTATAATTTCTGGAGATGAGGCTTAAACACATGACTTTTGCTGTTGGTTTTTTGTTTTATTTATTTTTTTAAAATAAGATCAACATATGCTTATGAAAAACACTAATAAAATACAGGGTGGTTGTGAAGTAGAAGATAAAGCTTCCCAAATAGTCAGCAGAAATTTCTGTGTATGGTGAACATACAACTTACATATCCTTTTGAAAAATTAACAAGAATGCTATTGATATTTACAGATATAATTCCTTTTTAAAAGTCAGTAGGGAATTATATGTAAATTGTGTAATATATTTAACTAATCCTGCCTACTTAATGTACATCTAAATGGTTTCCAGTATTACATGTTTGCAAGAAGTTGAGCATCTTGTGTGCATTCATCTAAGTAAATAAAGGTGTATGCAGGATATTTATAGAGTGCAAATATATGGGTAAGATAATTTTTTAGTAGTGAATTTATTGGTCAAAGGGTATTTGTATCTTTAATTTTTATTGGTAGTCCTAAACTCAGAAAGATGTATTTTGAAATGACTTCCAGGATGAGAACCAGGTGATCATGAAGATTAGTGCTACTGGGTTGAAGTTAATCTGGCAGATATATATATATTTAATATAATATACTTACATAATAGATATACGTATGTAAATAATATACTTAAATTTGTTTTAATTGCTGCAAGTCTTACTAAAATGGTGGTATATTAAGTATCAGCCTTTATCACTAGGCTTGTTTTGGTCAAGTTCTATAGCTTTTTCTCTGGTATTCTCTTTCTCTTATTTAAAAAATAAATAAATTAAAAAGAGGAATTTAGGGCAGCTTTTAAGGATTGCAGTAGTCATTGGCCATAGAGTAAATAAATGATGGCATGTCATGTTCTGCACTGGGTAAGGTGTATGTTCTTCCATTCTTGTCTGGGTATTAGAGAATCTACTCTTTGAAATTATGATATCTTCTGTAGTGTGCAGTGATTACTTAGAATATATACAAAATAACGCTATTTAACTATTAAACTACCCATAGATGAGCACATTTTTTTACTACAGTACTTGGTTGAATAAACAATGACAGAACCTATACTTATAAGAGAACAATCCAAAGGAGTTATTGATGCATACTGGACACCCTGCCATACTCCTAAATTATCTGTAGTGTCCTGACTAGACTTAACATAGCTAAGTAGAGAGACCATCCTGTTACCAAGAAGGTTGCCAACCAGAAGGTTAGGGCAGGGAATGTTCCAAGAGTCTTGACTGTTATTTGAAACTCAGTGCGGAAGTCCTGAATTTTAGTCCTGTAATGGCTTCTGATGTAAAGCCACCTTGTTTTCTCTGCCATGACTTGCTTATTGCCTAGAATTATTCTGAGGCTCAAATAGTAATGAATTTAAACATGTTGAAGAACATCATAGTGTTAACATTATATGTAGATTTTAAATTCTAAATAACTCAAAAAGGAACTCAGTCATGGCTATTGCATGTACTCATGCTTACCTAAGTAGCTTTTAGAAAAAAATTAACAAAATTTGTGTTTTAAGGCAGTTTTAGATTCACGGGAAAACTGAAAATGTAGAGAGCTTCAATAAACCCCTTCCTCTATTCACACACACCTCCCTTACAATCCATCGTAAGCCACAGGGGTACATTTGTTACCATTGATAAACTTACATTGATACACCATTGTTCCTGAAGTCCAAAGTTTACATTAGTGTTCCCCATTGGTGTACATTCTTGAACAAATATATAGACACAGTTCCGCTGTTACACTGTTCTACAGGGTACTTTTACTTCTCTAAAACTCCTGTGAGCTCTGCCTGTTCCTCCCTCCTTCCAACCCTTGTCAACCACTAATCTTAACTGTCTTCGTAGTTTTGCCTTTGCTAGACTATCTTATGGTTGAAATAATTAGTATGTAGACTTTCATAAGTAGCATTTTTAATATTTTCTTTTCTAGCATTCAGAACATTTGAAAAGTATTTTTCTTTTTTTGACTTTTTATTTTAATTTTATTTTCATTTTTATTAGCATACATTAGTTGTACAGAGGGATTCTTTGTGACATTTCTGAATAGCCTTACATTGTAAATTGGTTAAGTTCACCCCCACTGTCTCTCTCCCTCCTCCTGGTTCACACCCCACTGAAACAATGGCAGAAGGTTTGATTGTTCTATTTCATATATGAAATATTTTTCAAACTGAATTTTATAACCTATTATTGGATTATATGTCAATTTAGGGGGTGGGACTAGTATTTTTTAAAGAAAATGAAGTCAAATATAATAGAATCTGTCATTGATTATATAATTTTTTAAAAACATTTTTTGGGGGTACAGTACTGGGGTTTGAACATAGGGGTTTGTGCCTGCTAGGCAGGTGCTCTACCATTTGAGCACATCTGCAGCCCTTGATTTATAAAATTTTTATTGTGTGTGTACTGGGTTTTGATGTATTATGTAGTTTCACTTGAATTTTGGTGAAAAAAATTTGAAAGGTACTTCTTTCAGAAGGATAAATTTTGTAGGTATAAGTTGTTGAGTACTATGATTAGCTGCTGACATTTGTAAAACAGTGTAGGTTCCTGTTTTATAAGAGGAAGTTGAACTAAAATACAGGTCATTTGACTTGCAAAATAAGTTAGTGTCATTGTCCTTGACAAATTATTTTGTATTTTTATGATAATACAGACATATAGCAATTATAATCCAATCAAATGATTCCTGTCCTTGTTCTCATTGATTGTATTGTATAATTTCCATGTTCATAAATTATTTCAGAGACTGAAAATAATCTGATCCTAATTAATTTTCAGAATCATGTACTAATTACTAAAAAAATGCCTCAAGTAAATGCTTTTGAAGATTATTTTTAATCTTACATTTATGCTGCCAAATTGTAAAGGAACTGAAAGAAAATGTTTTTATTTGTTATTAATAAATAATACCAGTATGAACAATACTTCTATTTAGGTTGTGCTTTTTCAATTTCACTAGGACTTTGTGAAACAAGTGATATTGTCCCTGTTTTATAATCTTTCCCAAAAAATGGATGTTAACTAATTTCCCCAAAGTCAGAATAGCTAGTCAGTGGTCAAGGGTCTGGGCCTTCTGATTCTGAAGTTCAGTGTCCTTTGCCTCTTAACACATTCCACTTAAATGGATAAATTAAATATTTATAAGGGGTTTACTTTCCTAAAGAATACTAGAATAGAGAAAGATCGGCAGAATATTGCATCAGACATACTGCAAGCAATCAAAATTGTCCTAAATACCTGATGATGAATGTGTTTCCCTCACAAAGAAACTATTTGGTGTAATGGATGATTGAGATTGGCCAGTGACTTTGCTATCAACATATAAAATTACTTTGCTAAGGTTCTTACCTGGCTTTCACTTGTAAAATGGAATTAATATTTACCTTCCTTGCCTCATAATGGTGTCATGGGGACCAAATGAAATCATTTGTATGAAGTATTGAAAACTAGAAGCAAGCCGGGCACTGGTGGCTCACCCCTGTAATCCTAGCCACTGAAGGCAGAGATCAGGAGAATCATGGTTCACAGTCAGCCAGGGCAAATAGTTTGTAAGACCCTGTCTCGAAAAAACATCACAAAAAAGGGCTGGTGGAGTGACTCAAGGTGTAGGTCCTGAGTTCAAGCCCCAGTAGTGCAAAAAAAAAAAACAAAAGAAAACTAGGTGCATTATACAATATATACAAAGATACAAGTGTATTTATCTTATCACATACATTTTCAAAATAATTACCACAAATTACTTCTCTTTAATGTTTCTGCACATGACTCCTTGCAGATAGTACTGGTCCTTTTCTGTAAGATCCACAGAGATCATCAGAGTAGCAAATCAAGAAGAGCAACAAGAAAGTTGTTCATTTCTTTCTTTTTTAGTCTTCATTTCATTTCTTTTTAAGTGAGCATGATTAAACTGGTGCTTTTTGTTTTTCCATTCTCCATATAATTTGAAAGGATTCAGATTAAAATCACAATTTATGTACTTAGCCTTAATGTAGGCACTCTGCCCCTTTAGCCACACCTGACCCCCATCCCTAGTCTTAACTTTTTTTTTCTTTTTTGGTGGTGGTGCTGGGGTTTGAACTGAGGGTCTCTCTTGCTAGGCAGGTACTCTACCACTTGAGCCACTCCACCATCCCTAGCCTTAATAGTCTTATAGTGACTAGTAGGATATGTATATTCCTTGCCCATGGCAAAGAATTTTTCTTGCACATCAAAAGGAATAGTTATCAGAACCACAAAACAACACACAGAATGGGAGAAAACCTTCACCCTATCACCTATCAGCTATTCAACAGATAAGGGATTAATATCCAGAATATACAAAGAGCTCAAAAATATAAATGGCAGAACAAATAATGCAATTAATAAAGGGCAAATGAATTGAACAGACAGTCCTTAGAAGAAATACAAATGACTAATAACTACATGAAGAAGTATTCAACATCTTAGCCATTAAAAGAAATGGAAATCAGAACTACACTAAGATTCTATCTCACCCCAGTCAGACTGGCCATCATCATGAAAACAAACAATAAATACTGGTGAAGTGTGTGTGTGTGTGTGTGTGTGTGTGTGTGTGTGTGACTGGCCATCATCATGAAAACAAACAATAAATACTGGTGAAGTGTGTGTGTGTGTGTGTGTGTGTGTGTGTGTGTGTGTGTGTGTGTGTGTGTGT